TATATATATATATATATGGTTTAAATAAGTGTCAAAATTGGAGATGTCGTCTCTCATGCTCGGCTCTGCTAGGGTTTTGACCCATGTTGAACCCTAGCAACCCTTACCACAAGATCTTTTCTCCGGTGTTGAAGACGACGTCGTCGTCCTCTCCGGCGTCTTCGTCTCTGTTCGAAGCCGACTGCGACCTCTCATCGTCTCTCCGATAGTTTTGTCGTTCTGTTCGACTATATCTCACGGAAGACGGACCAGAAGGGGTCGCCTCGTTTCCTCCTTTCGTCTTCCTACTCGACTCAGCTTGACAGCTCGACTGCACCGAGTTTTGGTCTCTTCGGTTCTTGACCTGCCCTCTGACCGACTTGGGAGAGCTTTTAAGCTGTGATGGAGCTTCCTTCTTCAATTGAACCTGACAAAACCTCCTTTGCCCATTTGCCCACGTGGTGGGTAATACCTCCTTTGCCCACGTGGTGGGTAATCCTCAGGTGGAAACGACGGTTGTCTTCCCCTCAAGTTATAAGGAATATCGTGATGGTACAGGTAACTGCTCATTTATTAAAAATGCAAATAGGAAAAGTGGAAAAACAACACTCTTATTCTCGGAGTTAGAAATTTCAACCCTGACTGACAAATTCAAGTTTGCTTTTATTGAAAAATTTCAGTGGGGGCAGACACCTGTGGGCACCCACCTATGGACATTATTGGGAAAATTTTTGATGATTTTAAATTAGCAGGAAAGTGAAAAGTGGGGCTCATGGATGAGAGACATTTATTGATTCAATTAACCGTGATTGAAGACTACACTCGGATTTTCTCCAAAAAATATCTCAGTATTGCTGGTAAATCAATGAAGCCACTCAAGTGACCTCCTGAATTTAACCCTAATCATGAACCTCCTACTGTACCAGTATAGTCTACCAGGTCTCTAGCTGCACTTTTTTCATCATCAGGTTCTTTACTCTATTGGGGCCATACTTGGGGACCCTATGAATCTAGATCTACCTACTTTCAGCATAACCAGACATTCTGTGGCCAAAATACTTATGGAAAGAGATGTTACTTTACCTGATGTTACTGAAGTCTGGTTGGGCACAACTCATAATGGATATTGACAACAAATCTTCATGGAGCATAGACCGTCTTACTGTTCTCATTGTAAGATGTTTGGGCATACACTTGATAAATATCATAAGTTTCATCCTAATTTGAAATCTAAGGATCAAGTGAATAAAGATGGGTCTAATCCCACTACTCTGGAAATATCTGTTTCATTTGGAGAGAAAGCTACCACAAGACATATTTTGGATATCGCTAAAGATTCCTGCTGAGAAGGTGCAAACTGATCTTTTTCCCAACATCGCAGTTCCTGATGAAGAACATCATACTATAGGTACATATCCAAAAGTGCTTATACCACTCACTGTTATTGAAGAAAACTCACTTATATGCCAAGACACACGAGAGTGCTTCTTTGATTCAATCAAAGATAGCTGGTACTACAAGTGGTTACTTCTAATGCTCAACATCCTACACATGTCCGACACACTTTAGTCAATTTTCGGATGAAGAATGACAGGTCTACTCCAGAAGGAAGATAACTGGAGGCCGACTTGAGCTTGGAAATTTATTGGATGATACTTTGGTCACTACTGGCAATGACACTCATCTTATCAATTTATTATCTGGCTCCTTCCTAGAACTAGAGGTAGAGACAGGAAAATTGGGTCGCTCTCTAGCTACCTGATATTACGTTTTTTTTGACATTTTTTGTTTTTTTTATTTAGGTTTCTTGTATTTTTTCTTTTTTTGGAACCTTTTGTATGTGATGCTTATCGTGGGGGAAATGTGTCATGCTTGGGCTCTTCCACACAATCTTTATGTATCCTTATTTCCTTTTATATATATATATTGATTGAAAAGCCCAACGACTGATTTTATTGAAATAGAGAATATACATAAATGTTGTATGAGAGGGCCCAATAGAGCCACCCTACCCATACGATACCAAGTACAGTAATACCCCAACTAAAAGATACAGATAGACTCAAAAAATTAAAATTTACAGAAAACAAGTAGCTAGGGACGAGCCAGTTTAGTCCTGTCTCTTCCTCTAATTTTAGGAGCGGAGCCAGATAACAAACACTGAAGTGTCGCTCCATTGAGAGGAGTAACCAAAGTATCATTCATTAAGTTTCCAAATTGGAGTGTGCCCCCAACCTTCTTCTTCCGTCGAGAAGTGTAAACATGTCATTCTTCGTTAGAAGACTGACTCATGTGATCCTCGGTCTAATTAGATATTAGAACCACAGTAGAAGAAAAAATAGTCATTGCTACAACGATAGGCTCCAGTGTATGTGAAGTGTGAATTGTCACCTCTGCCCCTGATGCTTCCTGATTAGGAGCTGTGTGGCTATCCTGATTTTCTGTCCTAAAATTATCCATTGTAGTATGGTCGGGAGAAGGGTTCCCAGGGGCAGAAACCAACTTTTATCTTGTGGTG